AAAACCACACTACAGGCTGATCCAACTTTAATGTAATGTCCTTAAAACAAGTCAAAATGAGGCTCAGTAGTGTGTGTGGCCTCCACGTGCCTGTATGACCATCCTACAACGCCCTGGCATGCTCCTGATGAGGTGGCGGGTGGTCTCCTGAGGGATCTCCTCCCAGACCTGGACTAAAGCATCCGCCAACTCCTGGACAGTCTGTGGTGCAACGTAGCGTTGGTGGATGGAGCGAGACATGATGTCCCAGATGTACTCAATTGGATTCAGGTCTGGGGAACGGGCGGGCCAGTCCATAGCATCAATGCCTTCCTCTTGCAGGAACTGCTGACACACTCCAGCCACATGAGGTCTAGCATTGTCTTGCATTAGGAGGAACCCAGGGCCAACCGCACCAGCATATGGTCTCACAAGGGGTCTGAGGATCTCATCTCGGTACCTAATGGCAGTTAGGCTACCTCTGGCGAGCACATGGAGGGCTGTGCGGCCCCCCAAAGAAATGCCACCCCACACCATGACTGACCCACCGCCAAACCGGTCATGCTGGAGGATGTTGCAGGCAGCAGAACGTTCTCCACGGCGTCTCCAGACTCTGTCACGTCTGTCACATGTGCTCAGTGTGAACCTGCTTTCATCTGTGAAGAGCACAGGGCGCCAGTGGCGAATTTGCCAATCTTGGCGTTCTCTGGCAAATGCCAAACGTCATGCACGGTGTTGGGCTGTAAGCACAACCCCCACCTGTGGACGTCGGGCCCTCATACCACCCTCATGGAGTCTGTTTCTGACCGTTTGAGCAGACACATGCACATTTGTGGCCTGCTGGAGGTCATTTTGCAGGGCTCTGGCAGTGCTCCTCCTGCTCCTCCTTGCACAAAAGGCGGAGGTAGCAGTCCTGCTGCTGGGTTGTTGCCCTCCTACGGCCTCCTCCACGTCTCCTGATGTACTGGCCTGTCTCCTGGTAGTGCCTCCATGCTCTGGACACTACGCTGACAGACACAGCAAACCTTCTTGCCACAGCTCGCATTGATGTGCCATCCTGGATGAGTTGCACTACCTGAGCCACTTGTGTGGGTTGTAGACTCCGTCTCATGCTACCACTAGAGTGAAAGCACCGCCAGCATTCAAAAGTGACCAAAACATCAGCCAGGAAGCATAGGAACTGAGAAGTGGTCTGTGGTCACCACCTGCAAAACCAGTCCTTTATTGGGGGTGTCTTGCTAATTGCTTATAATTTCCACCTGTTGTCTATTCCATTTGCACAACAGCATGTGGAATCTATTGTCAATCAGTGTTGCTTCCTATGTGGACAGTTTGATTTCACAGAAGTGTGATTGACTTGGAGTTACATTGTGTTGTTTAAGTGTTCCCTTAATTTTTTTGAGCAGTGTATATATACACACATACATACACACACATACATATATACACATAAAACTATGAAATAACACATATGGAATCATGTAGTAACCAAAAAAAGTGTTAAACAAATCAAAATCTATTTTATATTTGAGATTCTTCAAATAGCCACCCTTTGCCTTGATGACAGCTTTGCACACTCTTGGTATTCTCTCAACCAGCTTCACCTGGAACGCAGTGGCGTCAAAACAGCGCTCTCTGCCAGTCATCTAGTGTATAAATCATTGCTTCTGAACCATGATGATGTAGCCGGTCTCTGCCTCATATTTCTGGACAGCTGAAATAAAAACCCAGTGGCGATTTGAACAAACATTCAAGGCCATTATTAAGGCTACAACCTTCTCGGTCTGTTGTAAGCCAATGTTTTCAATGATGATGAAAAAAAAGAACATTAGACTGCGTGTCTGTGTCTTGCTTGTGTTTCATATGCTGCCTACAGTGCATTTTGTTACGTTACAGCCTTATTCTAAAATTGATGAAATAAACATGTTCATCAATCTACACACAATACCCCATTATGACAAAGCAAAAACTGTTTTTTATTAAAAATAAACAGAAATACCTTATTTACATAAGTATTCAGACACTTTGCTATGAGACTCGAAATTGAGCTCAGGTGCATCCCGTTTCCATTGATCATCCTTGAGATGTTTCTACAACTTGATTGGAGTCCACCTGTGGTAAATTAAATTGATTGGACATGATTTTGGAAGGGACACACCTGTCTATATAAAAGGTCCCACAGTTGACAGTGCATGTCAGAGCAAATACCAAGCCATGAGGTCGAAGGGATTGTCCGTAGAGCTCCGAGACAGGATTGTGTCGAGGCACAGATCTGGGGAAGGGTACCAAAAAATTTCTGCAGCATTGAAGGTCCCCAAGAACACAGTGGCCTCCATCATTCTTAAATGGAAGAACCACTAAGACTCTTCCTAGAGCTGGCACCCGGCCAAACTGAGCAATCTGGGGAGAAGGGCCTTGGTCAGGGAGGTGACAGAGCTCCAGAGTTCCTCTGTGGAGATGGGAGAATCTTCCAGAAGGACAACCATCTCTGCAGCACTCCACCAATCAGGCCTTTATGGTAGAGATGCCAGACAAAAGCCAGTCCTCAGTAAACAGCACATGGCAGCCTGCTTGGAGTTTGCCAAAAGGCACCTAAAGACTCTCAGACCATGAGAAACAAGATTATCTGGTCTGATGAAACCAAGATTTAACTCTTTGGCCTGAATGCCAAGCATCACATCTGGAGGAAACCTGGCACCATCCCTACGGTGAAGCATGGTGGTGGTAGCATCATGCTGTGGGGATGTTTTTCAGCGGCAGGGACTGGGAGACTAGTCAGGATCAGAGGAAAGAGGAACGGAGCAAAGTACAGAGAGATCCTTGATGAAAACCTGCTCCAGGACCTCAGACTGGGGTGAAGGTTCATCTTCCAACAGGACAACGACCCTAAGCACACAGCCAAGATAACGCATGAGTGGCTTCGGGACAAGTCTCTGAATGTCCTTGAGTGGCCTAGCCAGAGGTCGGACTTGAACCCGATCTAATATCTCTGGAGAGACCTGAAAATAGCTGTGCAGCGACGCTCCCAATCAAACCTGACAGAGCTTGAGAGGATCTGCAGAGAATAATGGGAGAAACTCCCCAAATACAGGTGTGCCAAGCTTGTAGCGTCACAAACAAGAAGACTCAAGGCTTTAATCGCTGCTAAAGGTGTTTCAATAAAGTACTGAGTAAAGGGTCTGAATACTTGTGTAAATGTGATATTTCCATTTAAAAAAATATATACATTTGCAAACATTTCTAAAAACCTGTTTCGGATTTGTCATTATGGGGTATTGTGTGTAGTTTGATAAGGGGAAAAAAACAATTTAATAAATTTTAGAATAAGGCTTTAACGTAAAACAAATTTTGGAAAAAGTCAAGGGGTCTGAATACTTTCCCGAATGCACTGTAGATAACTGCATGTAACTCCCCACTTGAGTTTTGCATTGCGGCAAAAAACTATCAGCGAGTTTGTACGAACATGTTGATCATGTATTTTGTGTACAACATGTAAATAGCTGTATGTAGCCTAACTCCCCTCCTGAAAAAATAACATGAAATCGCGCTTATGCTTAATACAGCCTATGGAGGCATGGAATGCAATAGTTCAAACATGTTGTTTATGCCAATTGCACACTCCCTCAAAACATGAGACATCTGTGGCATTGTGTTTTGTGACAAAACTGCACATTTTAGAGTGGCCTTTTATTGTCCCCAGCACAAGGTGCACCTGTGTAATGATAATGCTGTTTAATCAGCTTCTTGATATGCCACACCTGTCAGGTGGATGGATTATCTTGGCAAAGAAGAAATGCTCGCTAACAGGGATGTAAACAGATTTGTGCACAAAATTAGAGAAATTAGCTTTTTGTGCGTATGGAATATTTCTGGAATATTTTATGTCAGCTCATGAAACACTTTACATGTTGCGTTTATATTTTTGTTCAGAATAATACATTTTTCACATGCAAATAGCATTTTTCGGTTGGTCTAGTGCTCAGAGCATGCCATTCCATAGAGCAGTATTTATTTTTCAACTCAAAGCAATGAGTCCAATCAGTCCTCCATGACAACAAGATGAACAGAGTAGGCTAATAAGTCATTCGTTTTTGGGTTATGGTCAGGTAAAACAAGTTGGCTAATCTATATTTCCGAGTCCTATTCTTGAAGATCAAGTGATATTCAATTAATTGGCTTGACTGGAAATCTGACAGACTTGGTTTTTAATGTAAATATATAGCCTCATATTATTATTATCTGTAGTAGAAAGTAAAATGCAACACCCATTTATGGCCAGCTATGTAAACTCTAACATTGATTTATCCTGCAATAGATTCATTCATTCAATTGGTAATATACATTATTTGTTTTCTTCTAATGCAGGACTGCCCAACCCTATTCCTGGAGAGCTACCATCCTATAGGTTTTTGCTCCAACCCTAATCTAGCACACCTGATTCTAATAATTAGGAGGCTGATAAAATGAACCAGGTTAGTAACACCTGGGGTTGGAGTGAAACCCTACAGGAGTGTAGCTCTCCGGGAACAGGGTTGGGCAGTCCTGTAATGCCTCTTAAGGGGAAAGTAATCTAAAAGTAACTGAAAGTAATTCAATTATGTTACGGAGTTTGGGTAATCCAAAAGTTACGCTAGTGATTACAATTTTGGACAGGTAACTAGTAAATGTAACAGATTACATTTAGAAAGTAACCTACCCAACTGGACAGTTTTTGCTACAACCTAAAGAATGTTCTGGGAACTTTCACAGTCACGGGTGCCGGCCCGCGTAGATGGAAACAGAAAGTTTGAGACTTTTGGGTAAACACTGGGGTAAATCCTCAGACTACTGAGCCGAGCTGTACTGTGCTGGCCTGGTTACTATGTCCCATAGCTGCTGGAACCGTACTGGAAAGGACAATGTCAAAAGTCAATATCCGAGCAAGCACAGTACAGTTTGTGTCCACACAATAGTGTGAAAAAGGGATAAAATGTCAGTCTTGTATATTGAATAATAGTGAATAAAAGTATTGTGTGCCTACCGAGTTTAGGCTTGACAAAGCCATTGGTGATTCCCAGGCTGTTGGCGGCCACGGTCTCTCCGTTGACCACCCTCATCAGGGTGAACTCAGAAGACAGGGTGTGCATGACCATGGGCAGGTCCCGCTCTCGAACCTGACAACCACAACACCATCAACAACTAGGGGTCAACCAAAACACAACACACTTGTTACAACCGGGAAAACCTAAAAGTTAGAGTTTTATATAAACGTGAAATAGCATTTGAACGGTTGACGGTTGATTCAATTACATCAGAAAGTAAGTCACATTTGCACTTCAAACACTGCAAGTTTAATCTGCACTTATCAGGGAAAAGAAACAATGGTGTCCCAATAGCAAACAATTCAGTGACATTTCAAAAGAACTCAGAGCTTCTGCATATTGCTTATCTGAACACTTCAAGTGTAAGTAAAAGAAAGGAGCCCGTGGCTACAGCAAATGTTAATAAAGCATTTTAGGCAGGTACTGTATGTCTGATTAGTAAAAAGTTTGGCCCAACAACCTCCCAAATGAATGCAATGCTTTAAAAGGGTGGAGACTGTCTTCTGCTTCAAAATCTAATTTCAAAGTGTAATTAAAATGCCCCAAATAGCTGCCCATTACATGGGCCTAATGCAAAGCTACCTTGTCAGTTCCATTTACATTAGTCATTTAGCTCTTATCCAGAGCAATTTACAGTGCATAATTTGTAAATCGGGAGGTGCCGGAACAAAAAGTGAGCGAGAGAGGGGGGTGACCTTTAAAATAAAAATCACCTTTATAATAAAGCATTGCATGCATATCATCGCATTTGCGTAGTGGTATAGAGCAGTAGAGTAGAGGTACTTACAGAAGTCGCCACATGGGGAAATTTTTTTGTAGTCTAGGGTCCGGAAAGAATGTGGCCTTTTATAAATGCATTTCATGCAATTGTAGGTCAAATAATTCAAATAATCAAAGCTTTATGATGAATCAGCTGTGTAGTGCTAAGGCAAAACCCAAAACGTGCACCGGGGGGGGGGGGGGGGGGGGGGGGGGGGCGAGTTTGGGAAACCCTGCTCTAAATGACTGCATTCTGCATTTGGGTCGGGCCCCACCGTTTATGTAACGCAAATCATCGTAAATCATCATTTAAAAAAAGAGGCTTCGGCCTGGCTGGTCTTCCTCTGACCCTCAAATACCGATAAAGAGAGCATGCAAGATAGAACCATAGAGAAAGATAGTGAGTAAGACATCAAGACAAGTAGACAGAGAGACTGAGGCAGAGTGAGCGAGCGAGAGAAACGGATGAGAGAGACGCAGGTTGTTTCCTCCATTTCTTTAGAGCCAGTGATTAGGCCGTGGCGTGGAGGGAAAACAGTGGCCATGAATGTTACCGGGAATTCCAGCAAGAGACTGAGCCGAGACTGATCCTCTTTAAATAACTACAGCCAGATTATCAACAATTTATTTATTATTTCCTTACAAAGGCCACAGTTATTCAGCAGACCTTGTTTTCTTCTTCCCCCTCTTAGTAGCAGGTAATAAAAAGACTCCCTATGGCCAAAAAGGCCTGGCATGAGAAAGGACTGGTGTAATTAAGCAGCTGGTCAAAGCAAAAGTGCCGCCCAGGGAGGTACTGTAGATCTGCTGCTATTGTCTTTTCATATCGAGTGGGGGAATACTAGACTAAAATGGCATGTTTCATAAGCTATTTTCCATTACCTATGTATAACAGTAGGCTACCTTCATTCCTTTCCACTGGACCACTGGTAACATAACAGGTTACAATGTTCAGTAATACTTGCAAGAATAAGCAGCTAAACTGACAAATACAGTGAGCTGTTGTTTTGTCTCTGTACTCCAGCATTTTGGATTTTAAATGATACAATGACTATGAGGTTGAAGTGCAGATTGTCAGCATTAATTTGAGGGTATTTCCATTTTAGTGGGCCAAATTCACTGTATTAAAATAGTCAAAAGTTTAGTATTTGGTCCCATATTCCTAGCACACAATGATTACATCAAGCTTGTGACTACAAATTTGTTGGATGCATTTGCTGTTTGTGTTTCAGATTATTTTGTGCCCGATAGAAATGAATTGTATAATATAATATATAATATAATATGCCATTTAGCAGACGCTTTTATCCAAAGCGACTTACAGTCGTGCGTGCATACATTTTTGTGTATGGGTGGTCCCGGGGATCGAACCCACTACCTTGGCGTTACAAGCGCCGTGCTCTACCAGCTGAGCTACAGAGGACCACCAAAAATTGTAAATATTGTATTGAGTCACTTATTGTAAATAAATAGAATATAAAAATACAATATGTTTCTAAACACCTCTAGTCTTGAATGAATCGTGAATAATGATGAGTGAGAAAGTTAGACGCACAAATATCCTAACTCCAAGACATGCTAACCTATCACCATTACAATAACAGGGGAGGTTAGCATTTTTTGGTGGGGTATAATATTTGTGCGTCTAACTTTCTCACGTTGTATTAAGGATTATCCCTAATCATGGTAGCATCCACATTAATATAGAAGTGTTTAGAAAACTAATTATATTCTTATTTACAATAAAAGTGACTCCAAAATGACACAATACATTATTTACTATTCATTTCTATTGGGCACACAATAATCTGAAACAACCAAAACAAACAGGAAATGCATCCAACAAGATTGTAGAGTCACAAGCTTGATGTAATCATTGCATACTAGGAATATGGGACCAAATACTAAACTTGACTACTTTAATACATAAGTGAATTTGTCCCAATACTTTTGTTCCCCTAAAATGGGGGGGGGGCTATGTAGAAAAAGTGCTGTAGAAAAAGTGCTCTAATTTCTAAACGGTTCACCCGATATGGATGAAAATACCCTCAAATTAAAGCTGACAGTCTGCACTTCTCAGTCATTGTATAATTTAAAATCCAAAGTGCTGGAGTACAGAGCCAAAACAACAAAAAATGAGTCACTGTCCCAATACTTTTGGAGCTCACTGTACATCCTCAAACTGAATGTGACTGAGGATCAATAACACGTGACGGGAGAATGACGTGCCAAGATGCTCATGACAATTGGCAATAACCATGTTTTTGCAATTTTCTGGCTGTTATCTTGCATGTGTTCCTTGCAGAGTTGAGGAAGGCATACAACAGCACTTCTAAAGCCTCATTTGTACAGTAGGTACGCAATTGAAGAACGCAAAACGGCAATCCTGTTTACTTACGTCAAGTTTGTAACTGCGGGGCTGCCCACATCTGCATAGTTTTGCTACGCAACTACGCAGGATCACCATTTTGTGCAGCTATTTGTAAGTTTTGCGTTGTCGACTATGAAGGGCAGTGATGGGCAACAGACGGCCCGCGGATGAATTTCCAAAACCGGGGCCCCGACCCAAAAATATATTTTTTTTTTTGGGGGGGGGTCTCAACTTACTGATGAGAGTTAGAATAGTAGAATACACAAGGTGACATTTTGAAATGTGGTTGTGCATCAGCGGTTTCTCTCATTATGTCAGTCACTGACAGTCACTCAATTAGTCATGTCAGCTAACATTTTTTTTTATTGGTAAGTTAGTCTAGCCAGATATCATGGCCGAATACTGACTGGGCACGCAGGGCACATGCACAGGGGCCCTGACCTCCAGGGAGCCCCCATTGATTTTGTTAGTCACTCTCACTCAGGTGTCATATTAACATGGCATAAGTCATGTCCAAATGTGTAGAATTGCAGGAAATTAGCTGTAAAACTGAAAATAAATCCTCTCTGCCCAATGGCAAAATGAGTATAATAGCATGATTTTTTTTTCTAAAATTGCAACATTTTCACTCCTTCCCATAGCAAAATGTGTAAAATTGCAGGAAATGTACTTTCAAACTAAAAATGTTCTCTCCACCATCAAGACAGGGGCCAGTAAAAATGTTTTGCCAGCGAGGTGGCGGGGCCCCCCAACCAAATCTTGCTTAGGGCCCCCAAAAAGCTAGGGCCGGCCCTGGCTATTGGTATAATGCATTTAGTTAAAAGGGTTAAGTAGCTTAACTGCACAAATGGATTGATTGCGCAAATCAGTTGACTGCATGTGTTGGTATGGATATGGGTACGCAGACCCACTGCCGCCCCTTATATTCTGTGGTCCCCATCAAAGTTGCCCCTGCCGTAGGGTATAAATTAGACTTAAGAGGGGTCTGTAGTGGAACTGCACTCACCAGGATGAAGTCCGTCTGATAGGTGGACAGCATAAACACAGAGATGTTGTGGTCTGCCAGGGGAGCGATGACAGACTTGGCTATTTTGGTGACTCCGATTGGCTGAGAGTTGGTGGTGCTCCCGCCCCCCAACACCACGTTGAGAGCCAACCACGTGGCCTCGGCGACACTAAGGTGCTCCGACTCAGGCAGTTCTGAAACCGGACGAGAAAATGCCGTTAAAAGGTGTGGCCCCAGATGGACGTGTCTGTCTGTCAGTGGTCCCCTTGGCGATAAATGAGGCCGCTAACAGCGTCACCGGACTCTCAATGTCCCTTATTTTACGGATGATTGTTTGACTTTCTCCTCCGCTGATGAGCTGGAGGAGGCATTGTCAAGCCTGGGTGCCATTAATACGAGAGGGGTCTGACTTGGAAAAAGACCTGACTCCATTGCTAAGAACAATAAGATATCACACGACTGACTATGCTTACTTATTTCATCATATAATCAATAATGTGTGTAGAAAAACCTTGAAAGAAACCTTGTTAAACAAACTGCATTCATGAGTGTCATTGGAATGAGTAAATAAGCTTATAATAACTCATTTACCACTGAGCATAGCTATGCCAACAATCTCGGTTTTGTTTTAACAGCCTCGATATAGAGCTAAATGTGTGTGCGGCTATTTTCATGCACTGGCATGACCAAACAACAAGTATTTGAAGTCATCGTTCATCGTGTAATGCTGCAAAATAACGTAATACATGGTCATTTCCATGTAAAAGGCCCCATGAGCACCAACATGTGAAGTTCATAGGAGCATGGCAAATTGGGTGTCAAATGAAAGCTAAGAGTCCATATTTGAGAAATGAAGGCATATACATTTTTCAACCATTTTCCATCCTAAAAATTTGGTATAGGCAAAGGATTTGATTTATTGTCAAATAAGTGGAAAAATGGGCCTTAGAAAGCAACTACCAGAAAAAGTCTTAAAAGAGATTCTCCTGTACTTTTGTATACTTTTTAGCCAGTAGTTCTGAAAGTAGCACTCACGAGCCAAAAGTGTTCCTCGAAAATCTGATTTGTGCACCATGTCATTGCTCTCTCTGCTGTGTGTGCATCATGTGCATCTTTCTAGCTGTCACTCAGATGGCGAGGGACTGAAGCTCATTGGTTGAAGTCATTGCTCGCTCTCTCTGCCTTTAAAAGGTATTAGAAATACATACAAACACAATAATGTTAACATAAACGCCCCTGCCAACTAATATCAACATTTATATTTAGTGTAGGAAAAAATAAATGCTTTACTTCTCTGAATTGTACTATACTTTACTATACTGAACTCTACTGTAATGTACTGAACTATAGTCTACTGTTCTGCGCTGTACTTGTGAAAGAGAAACGTCTATGATTGGTTCAGATTTTGTCTGATCCAGACCAACCAATTTTGGTCTTGTTTGGTGGTGGATCTCATTAAAATAATATTATAATAATGAAGAGAAAGAAATGAATATCCATAATTATGTTGTGAGGTACAAATCAGGGACCCATAATGAAATTACGTTACCGCAATAATGTTACCAGGTGTACATTCACTTCACTTACTGTAATTCAATAACCAAAACAGATTTTTTCAAAGTGAAGGTGTGAAAACATGGTCACAAACAGAGAGATTACCAAAATTCTGTTACCAAACTTTTCATCTGCACAGTTCTTTCAGTGAATGTGTTTTTGTTACATTTTCAGTGTACAATGTTAAAAGTAGTCCTTGTGCATATAGTTGTATGGTTTGTTAAACTTTTAAATCAATGTTTATTGTTTGGCATACATTTTAAGTGAAAAATCTGAGTCTCAGCGCAATTCCGTTACCATTAATTGCCCACATACAGATAAGCACAATAGAAACTTCCAGCCAATCTACAGTAGAATACCTGCACCTGTTTCACAACGCAGAGCTTCTAGTATCCATGGTGACCAACAAGGGTCACCCTGGAAACAGTCTGTAATGACATGGATTCACTCACTCAACCACAAAGCCAAATCAGTGACAGCTTGGCCTCTTAACCCATAATGGAAAAGGGGGGAAAACTGATGGAGCAATATGTGATCAAACATCGACAGCCAGTCAAGATACGAGTAATTAGAGAAAATCATAGGGCTACAAATTATTTCCCGTGGTCCGATCCTTGTTTCCACAGTAACCTTAAAGATCCAGAGGTAGCGACTACAAAACCCACCTTTGAAGCCTTCCTCGTCGACGATAATGGTATAGTCCTCCGGAGTTTCCGTCAAACTGAAAAATTTGCATCTGGAAACGAAAGAGTTTTACAGTGAATAACGTGGTTCATTATGCTACTTGTAAATCACCAGTTAGTTTCAACAGAACATATTCATTATCTAAGTTCAATTATAAAAAATGGGAAGGAGTTATTGGAAGCTGCTTGCAGGCAATAATGAACCTTTACCTATTGCCCAGAAATTACCGCATTGGACAATGCAGAGGAGCAAAAGCATATTGTTAGCCTAAAGTATTGTGGTTTCATTAGTACATTTTTTTATATTAATGTTATATCATATGCCTATTGCCTATGTGTATACGCACTATTCAGTCAACTCAAGCCAACATTTTTGGTAAACAATTAGCAACTAAACTTCCGTACAACCTCTTTAAGGAAGCAGATGGATCAGAGAAAAAACACCAGCTTGCCCTGGTCAGACAGAGAGGCTGTCTGAATCTAAGGTAATCAGCCTCCAAAAAATCTCTGTGACCCCACATGGCCCCCAAAGTTCCTTTTGTGGAAAGCAAGCAACACATGCATACACTCAACGCAAACAATGTGTGTGTGATCACAAGTCTGTTAATATCTTCTTTATCACCGTATTTAATGACATATGGGCTATATTTGAGGCCAATCAGGTCATCAAGACAACACAGAAATACGCCATGGTATTTCTCAGCTTGAAATAAACCCAGCTATTTCTTACATTTCATTCCTCAGTTATGAGTGATAGGAGCTCTGTACAGTTGTGTAAACCTCGTTGCCAGAGGAATTGCAAAACCGGAGAGATGTTTTTTTGAATATTTTAGCTCCATGCATCTGTCTATGCAAACATACCCAAATACATGTATCTTGAGTTGGGACTGCCAGTAGCTGCTGCAGACTTTTATGCTGATCGTAAAACCTGAACCGGCTCACAATTCTGGGAGAGAGGAGACACTGGCTGATGAGCTATGTTTGTCCAATTCACCCACACCTCTCTTTTAATCGAGGGGCACCATGATACATGTTGATTGTGGAAAGTCTGATGCCATGCGTCATTTCTTTAATGATAATGGCGTACGTCATCTCCTAAATGCTGAAGTGGCCTACTTGTCCAAAACATCTCCTGTTGTTGTGTCATCTTATCATCATCTCAAGTGTCCTTGGGTTGATATGATGGAGAGCTTTACTAATACATATGCATGGAGAAAGGGTGTCTCACTGCCATTAATATAAAGGAGACTTCCGATTACATTCACCTTCAGTACGACGTGGCGCTTTTCCACTATTGGATTTGTGTTAATTTAAGGTGTTGAGTTGATGAAAGGATGCTAATCTAACAATAGCCTTTAGAGCAGGGCTCTAGAACTCTGTTCCTGAGCGCTACCGTCCTGTAGGTTTTCACTCCAACCCTAGTCTAGCCCATCAGGATAGTTACAACTGGGGTTGGAGAGAAAACCTACAGGAGGGCAGCTCTCCAAGAACAGGGTTGAAGAGCCCTGCTTTAGAGTGCTGTTTTGAAGTTTAGGTCTACCCCATTACTTTTGGTGCATATGTACCTGGAAACTGCTGTCAGAATATACTTATTTAACTTGATCTCTAATTTTGACCTCTCTCATCTTGAAAAACGTTAGATGAATCTGAGGGATTGTGCAACAAGGCCATGTCCTCATAAAAAATGTCCTCATAAAAATATTGTTGTAGTAGTTAAAAGTACTTGGTGTTTCTCGCATTGCTCATGAAGAACTTGAAACAAGTCAACCATGGTAATATGATTCTCTACAGCCTTGCAATTGAATGGTTGCACAGTGTATTAGGCTAATAAGTGCGAAGATGCACAGTAAATTAACAGGTAGGGATTCTAAAATGCCCTTTTCAATTAAAATTATTATACTGAACAAAAATATAAATGTAACATATGAAGTGATGGTCCCATGTTTCATGAGCTGAAATAAAAGATCTGAGAAATTTTCCATATGCACAAAAAGCTTATTTCTCTCACATTTTGTGCACAAATCTGTTTACATCCCTGTTAGTTAGCATTTCTCCTTTGCCAAGATAAGCCATCCACCTGACGGGTGTGGCATATCAAGAAGTTGATTAAACAGCATGATCATTACACAGGTGCACCTTGTGCTGGGTACAATAAAAGGCCACTAAAATGTGCAATTTTGTCACATAACAACGCCACAGATGTCTCATGTTGAGGGAGCGTGCAATTGGCATGCTGACTGCAGGAATGTCCCCCAGAGCTGTTGCCAGATAATTAAAAGTTAATTTCTCTACCATAAGCCGCCTCCAACGTCGTTTTAGAGAATTTGGCAGTACGTCCAACCGGCCTCACAACCGCAGACCACGTGTATGGCGTCATGTGGGTGAGCCGTTTGCTGATGTCAACATTGTGAACCGAGTGCCCCATGGTGGCGGTGAGGTTATGGTATGGGCAACCGGCCTCACAACCGCAGAACTTCGCACAGCCATGGAAGATTAGTGAGACAACATTCCACAATGAACAGCCTGATCAATTCTATGCGAAGGAGATGTGTCACTCTGCATGAGGCAAATGGTGGTCACACCTGATACTGACTGGTTTTCTGATCCACGCCCCTATCTTTTCTTTTTAGGTATCTTTGACCATCAACAACATTCTAGGTGGTACGCAGCTTCCAAGCCATCCCCTTGTGTTTGTGTGGCTCCACATTTTGTCAGCATCATTCACATTCTACATGAATGTGAGGCACTTCACAGGGAGCTTCTAAATGAGTTTGTTTCAGGCTGTTAAAACACCCCTGGACAATTAACAACACACCCTTACTTGACTCGAAATATGAGGCAATTACAAAAAGTACTGTAAAATCTAAAAGTACTGTATAAAAAAATATATTAGTGACTCCCAAATGGTAGTAATGCCATGAATTTAAAGCTGCAACAAGGCCCAAATCACAGCTGAGGACAGTCTAATATTCTAAATAAAAACACTCCATGATAAAAATGTATATTACATCCTGTGGACCTCTACCTCTTTTTCAAGTATTTTTAGGGGTCAGTGGAGCACACAAAAAAAGGTCACTGAAAGGTGGAGGGGGAGTTGCCCTGAGGACAGCTTGGCCATATAGGCTAGCCAATGGCCTTTCCAATCCCATGTGTCCTTAATGTAAGGATCCTCACTAAAAAAAGACTTGCCTTCAACTTGTGTCCTGGTGCAGTTATAACTGCAATGATACAAAGATCTTTGTAGGAATGCAAAACTGCAATATTATTGGAATGCATCTCACATACATGTAAATTACCCTTGAGGAAATAATCACTTGAGGAAAATAACACTAACGAAGTTTAGGTTAGAGAGTAGGCCTATAGCCTATTGAGAATATTCTCAGTGGCATGCCATAATCGTATAACTATCGCAATAGGCTTAACCTACAGAAGATATCCTGGCTATAACCTGCCCTGTCCTCATCATGCCAGGTGAAATTAATATAATAATCTTTACATTGTTATTGTGATCCCTTAATAGCCTATTAAAATTATTAAAAACAGAAAGGCACAAAGCCTGTAGTCAGAAACACAACCACCGGTCAAGCGCAATCACTTCTCCGGCAGCAGATATAATGGCTCGCGGCGCAAACAACAACATATCATGATTGCAACATCGCAAATGATATATTCGGCATCATCGCGGACTACGTAAATGCCGACTATAGGCCTATATATGAATGTCTCACGCCACCGGTTCAAGTTCGATTTCAAATCAATCACCTCACCCCGGATAATTTTACAGCTACACACAACGAAAAACAACACCGCAGAGCTGAAAACTATGCACGTACACACACCCCTTCACGTCGGACTACAAAAGCTGAACATGTAAATACAAAACGAAATAGCCTACTGAATTTAAAGAATAGGCCACTGCCAGCACTCATTGACACATGCAAAAACAACAGAGCATGCATTTCATTTAAAGCTAAAAAGACAACTGTACTAAACACAATTAAAATTGCACCGCTTTGCTACAACGATCGGCTACATAATCCAGTCCCGCAATTAGTTTGCAATAACATTACTGCCCAATACGATATTTATGATTAATTTGTTATATTTTAACGGATTTAATAACAGTGTTCATATCTATATAGCTTCTTACCTTGTTTTAGAGGGCAAGAAGGCGAGTTTGATTAATCCATGAGTGCAAATCTGAATGCCCTCTTTTGCTATACTCGCTACTTTTAAACTGTGTTCTAAAATATGCAACTCCATCTTTTGCGTCTTCTCATTTGAGGAACATTAAAAAATATATATAGAAATGTATATCCTTTCTAATAAAAATACCTTACGCTATATAGGTAGAGTTTATAAAAACCGTGAAACTGAGCAGAAAGCAAGGGAGGGAGAAGGAAAAGTTAACCACTTAGGAAAAGAGTAAAAGAGAGCAAAAGATAGAAGCAGGGTGAAATAAAAGAAAGCACAATGAGGTAAACTGGGAGGAAGAAAATTGAGAAGGACTATCGGTCCGCGTGTTTTCTCTCCGACAGGGATTGGAATAGTCCAGCAGCTGGTAACAGTGAAACAAACAACTTGCCAATCAAAAGAAGGCGAGGACCATAGAGGTAGATAAAGGACGCATCTTTGTATCTGTTCAATTATAGAGTCTCTGACTGCATGGGCAGCGCCATTGAGGCAATCTCCGTTTTGAAGTAGTAAATGTTCTTCTTCACGATTAGCTGATCCCTCCCGATGACCCGGTTCCACATGACTCCAACAGGGTCACCAGGAGGGATCAGCCAACGAAGTTGGAAGTACCATCCAGTTGACTACGTTAAAATGGTAGAAGCCTTAAATGGCTCTGCCCATATTAATACAGCCTTTTAGTAAAAAAAAAAAAGCCCTCTATCATTCTCTATGGGGAGGACCTCGCTCTGGCACACTGGCATGTCGGGACATGTAGTTCCACATTTCCTGTGTTGCCATGGCAGGGCCATCATGGAGCAAATACAGGGACAATGCAAAATGTAGTTATGAAAAATTAAGTATTTTGTCATATATCACTGTCATATACCAGTATGCATAATTTTTCTAATGCATTAATGGTCTGAGGCCAAACCTCAGACATCTTACAAATCAAATCAAATCAAATTTTATTGGCCACATGCGCCGAATACAACAGGTGCAGACATTACAGTGAAATGCTTACTTACAGCCCTTAACCAACAGTGCATTTATTTTTAACAAAAAAGTAAAAATAAAACAACAACAAAAAAAGTGTTGAGAAATAAAGCAGAAGTAAAATAAAATAACAGTAGGGAGGCTATATATACAGGGGGGTACCGGTGCAGAGACAATGTGCGGGGGCACCGGCTAGTTGAGGTAGCTGAAGTAATATGTACATGTGGGTAGAGTTAAAGTGACTATGCATAAATAATTAACAGAGTAGCAGCAGCGTAAAAGGATGGGGTGGGGGGGCAGTGCAAATAGTCCGGGTAGCCATGATTAGCTGTTCAGGAGTCTTATGGCTTGGGGGTAGAAGCTGTTGAGAAGTCTTTTGGACCTAGACTTGGCACTCCGGTACCGCTTGCCGTGCGTTAGCAGAGAGAACAGTCTATGACTAGGGTGGCTGGAGTCTTTGACAATTTTGAGGGCCTTCCTCTGACACCGCCTGGTATAGAGGTCCTGGATGGCAGGAAGCTTGGCCCCAGTGATATACTGGGCCGTACGCACTACCCTCTGTAGTGCCTTGCGGTCGGAGGCCAAGCAGTTGCCATACCAGGCGGTGATGCAACCAGTCAGGATGCTCTTGATGGTGCAGCTGTGTAATTTTTTGAGGATCTGAGGACCCATGCCAAATCTTTTCAGTCTCCTGAGGGGGAATAGGCTTTGTCGTGCCCTCTTCACGACTGTCTTGGTGTGTTTGGACCATGATAGTTCGTTGGTGATGTGGACACCAAGGAACTTGAAGCTCTCAACCTGTTCCACTACAGCCCTGTCGATGAGAATGGGGGCGTGCTCAGTCCTCTTTTTTTTCCTGTAGTCCACAATCATCTCCTTTGTCTTGGTCACGTTGAGGGAGAGGTTGTTATCCTGGCACCACACGGCCAGGTCTCTGACCTCCTCCCTATAGGCTGTCTCATCGTTGTCGGTGATCAGGCCTACCACTGTTGTGTCGTCGGCAAACTTAATGATGGTGTTGGAGTCGTGCCTGGCCATGCAGTCATGGGTGAACAGGGAGTACAGGAGGGGACTGAGCACGCACCCCTGAGGGGCCCCCGTGTTGAGGATCAGTGTGGCAGATGTGTTGTTACCTACCCTTACCACCTGGGGCGGCCCGTCAGGAAGTCCAGGATCCAGTTGCAGAGGGAGGTGTTTAGTCCCAGGATCCTTAGCTTAGTGATGAGCTTAGAGGGCACTATGGTGTTGAATGCTGAGCTGTAGTCAATGAATAGCATTCTCACGTAGGTGTTCCTAGGTGTCAACCATGCAAGATAGGCCAAATCCATCAGTGTCCATCATTTCCAAAAACACCAACAGTCATCTCTAGGACACAATAGCCAGTCCACTGTCCATACATATCCTATAGACGGGTTGGTTGTTTAGCATCATAACCAATGCTTGTGCAACTATGGGGCAAAACAGACAGGATTGGCCTAGAACGTTTGACATGTAGGATACTATGGGGCTGTTTTTTCATTTAGAAAAAGTTGTAGATATAATCCAATGAAGTTAGATCCTTTTTATAGGGCTGCCTTAATCTGTCGTTCTGCCCCTGAGCAAGACAGTTAATCCACTGTTTACTGGGCGTTGTCGATTAAGGCAGCCCTCCGCACCTCTCTGATTCAGAGGGGTTGGATTAAATGCTGAAGACACATTTCAGTTGAATGCATTCAGTTGTACAACTGACTAGGTATCCCCCTTGACTTTTTCCACATTTTGTTACGTTACTGCCTACACACAATACCTCATAATGACAAAGCAAAAACAGGTTTTTAGCAAAGTTATTAAAAAAATATATATTCAGACCCTTTACTCAGTACTTTGTTGAAGCACCTTTGGCAGCGATTACAGCCTTGAGTCTTCTTGGGTATGATGCTACAACCTTGGCACACCTGTATTTGGGGAGTTTCTCCCATTCTTCTCTGCAGGTTGGATGGGGAGCGTCGCTGCACAGCTATTTTCAGGTCTCTCCAGAGATGTTCGATCAGGTTCAAGTCCGGGCTCTGGCTGGGCCACTCAAGGACATTCAGAGACTTGTCCAGAAGCCACTCCTGCGTTGTCTTGGCTGTGTGCTTAGGGTCATTGTCCTGTTGGAAGATGAACCTTCATCCCAGTCTGAGGTCGTGAACGCTCTGGAGCAGGTTTTCATCAAGGATCTCTTTGTTCTTTGCTCCGTTCATCTTTCCCTCAATCCTGACTAGTCTCCCAGTCCCTGCCGCTGAAAAACATCCCCACAGCATGATGCTGCCACCACCATGCTTCACCGTAGGGATGGTGCCAGGTTTGCTCCAGACGTGACGCTTGGCATTCAGGCCAAATAGTTCAATCTTGGTTTCATCAGACCAGAGAATCTTGTTTCTTATGGTCTGAGAGTCTTTAGGTGCCTTTTGGCAAACTCCAAGCGGGCTGTCATGTGCCTTTTACTGAGGAGTGGCTTCCATCTGGCCACTCTACCATAAAGGCCTGATTGGTAAAAAAATTGGTGGAGTGCTGTAGAGATGGTTGTCCTTCTGGAATATTCTCCCATCTCCACAGAGGAACTCTGGAGCTCCTTCAGAGTGATCATCGGGTTCTTGGTCACCTCCCTGACCAAGGCCCTTCTCCCCCGATTGCTCAGTTTGGCCGGGCGGCCAGCTCTAGGAAGAGTCTTGGTGTTTCCAAACTTCTTCCATTTAACCTCTACGGGATCAGTATCCCTATACCAGGACGGTTGCAGCTCAATATACGATATGTGACTAGACTGGCGTTGTAAACAACTTTCCGGGACATAGACATGTCTTATATGGCCAGAAAGCTGAAATCCTTGTTAATCTAACTGCAGTGTCCAATTTACAGTAGCTATTACAGCAAAGAAATACCATGCTACTGTTTGAGGATAGTGCATAACAACAAAACACTTTTGTCACGGCAACTGGTTTGATACATTCACTTCAAAGTGTTTCAAATGGTACCAAGAATATGCATATCATTGCTTCAGTTCCTGAGCTACATGCAGTTAGATTTGTATGTCATTTTAGGTGAAAATTGGGACCTTCAATGCTGCAGATATTTTTTGGTGTCCGTCCCCAGATCTGTGCCTCGACACAATCCTGTCTCTGAGCTCTACGGACAATTCTTTCGACCTCATGGCTTGGTTTTTGCTCTGACATTGCACTGTCAACTGTGGGACCTTGTATAGACAGGTGTGTGCCTTTCCAACTCATGTCCAATCAATTGAATTTACCACAGGCGGACATCTCAAGGATGATCAATGGAAACAGGATGTACCTGAGCTCAATTTCGAGGGTCTGAATACGTATGTAAGTAAGGTATCTGTTTTTTATTTTTAATACATTTGCAAATATCTGAGGTATTGTGTGTAGATTGAGGAGGAAAACGATGTATTTAATCAATTTTAGTATAAGGCTGTAATGTATCAAAATGTGGAAAAAGTAGAAGGGTCTGAATACTTTCCGAATGCACTGTATATATACATGTAGGGAAGCCTTAATATAAATCATCCACTTGTTTAGAGAGAAAATGTTGACTGTTTTTGAGTAAAGTAGTAATATGTTAGGTTAGTATGTTGGGGCAGGATGGCCCCCCTCCATGCCCCTTCATGGTTGATAATTTGTTTCTAGCTGTAATTTAGGCACTGGCTAGCCCAGTTAGCTAACTAGCAACCACACTAGCAGAAAGTCTGAGGTGAAATAAATGTTAGCCAGCTAGTTAGCATAAGCTAATGTCTGCTAGCATAACTAGCTAGCCCCCAGTTAGCTAGCTAGCAACCTCACTTGCAGAAAGTCTGAGGTGAAATAAATACTAGCCCGCTAGTTACATAAGATAATGTCTGCTAGCATAGCTAGCTAATCCCCAGTTAGCAGGGTTAGGATTGGGGTTAGGAGTCAGAGTTAGAATAGGGGCCAGGGTAAGGATTAGAATAGGGGTTAAGGGTTAGGTTAGGGTCAGAATAGGAGTTAGGGTTAAGGTTAGATTAAGGGTCAGTTCTCCACCGTTCCTAAGATACTTAAAAAATCTATATTTTTAGATGAGAGTTTACAAGAAAATATATG